ATATAGTAATAGTAGGGGACTTCAGCCTTGGATAGATAGATCATCCAGACAGAAAGTCAACAGGGAAACATTGGAATTGAATCATACTTTAGATCAAATGAACTGAACCGACATATATAGAACATCCCATCCAACTGCAGCAGAATACACGTTCTTCTAAAGTGCACACAGAATATTCTCCAGAATAGACCATGTGATAGGACCAAAAAACAAGCTTAGCAAATTTAAGAAGATTAAAATTATACCAAATATATTTTCCTACTAGAAAAGATGAAACTAGAAGTCAGTAACGAGGGAAACTAGAAAATCTACAAATATGTGAAAATTAAACAACACACTTCTGAACAACCAATGGGTCAAATAAAAAGTAAAGAAAATAAAAAATATCTTGAAACAAATGAAAATGGAAACACAACATAGCAAACCTATGGGATGCTGCAAAAGCAGTTGTGAGACAGAACTTTATAAAAATAAGTGCAAACATTAAGAAATTAGAAAGATCTAAAATAGCATATTTTACATCTCAAGGAACTAGAAAAAAAAAGAACAAATTAAACCCAAAGTTAGCAGAAGGAAAGAAATAATACAAACCAGAGTAGAAATAAATGAAATAGAGACCAGAAAAACAATAGAAAAGATCAACAAAACTGAGAGCTAGCTTTTTAAAAAAATAAAGAAAATTGGTAAACCTTTAGCTAGAACCAAGGAAAAAGAAAGAAGACTCAAAAATGAAAGGAGAGACATTGCAACTGATACTACAAAAAAACCCATAGGATTATAAGAGACTACTGTGAACAACTATATGATAACAAATTAGACAATCAGATAAATCCCAGAAACACAACCTACCAAGACTGAATCAGTAATAAATAGAAAGTAAAAGCCAATAACAAGTAACAAGATTGAATCAGTTATCAAAACATCTCAACACAGGAAACCTCAGGACCAGGTGGTTTCACTGGTAAATTCTAAAAATTTGATGAATAATGCAAGTCCTCAAAATCTTCCAAAAAATTGAAGAGGAGGGAACATCTCCAAAGGCACTCACTCTACAAGACCAGCATTATCCTGATACCAAACCCAGATAAGGACACTACAAGGAAAGAGAACTATATATCAATACTCCTGATAACTATAGATGAAAAATTCTCAATAAAATATTAGCAAACAATTCAAGAACATATAAAAAAGATTATAAGCATGATGTGCTGGAGGGTGGGGGAATAGGAGATATGTTGCTTAAATGTGCAAACTTGTAACTAGTACATAAATAAGTCCTAGAGATCTAATGCACAGTATGGTGATTATAGACAACACTACCTATAATAATAAAAGTGTAATATGCTAATTAGACCAGACAGCCAAACGACCTTCCAGACATCATTCCGGACATCCTACCGGATGAAGCCGCAGTGGCCTGGGCCGAGGCAGAGGTGGGTAAGGGAGATCAGGCAGGCAGGCAGAGGCGGTTAGGGGCAATTAGGCAGGCAGGTGAGCAGTTAGGGGTGATCAGGCAGGCAGGTGAGTGATTAGGGGCAATCAGGCAGGCAGGCAGAGTGGTTAGGGACGATCAGGCAGGCAGGCAGGCGAGCGGTTAGGAGCCAGTGGTCCCAGATTGCGAGAGCGATGTCCGACTGCCGGTTTAGGCCTGTGGGATTGGGCCTAAACCAGCAGTCGGACATCCCCCGAGGGGTGCTAGATTGTGAGAGGGTGCAGGCCGGGCTGAGGGACCTCTCTGCCCCCCCACCCCCCATGCGCAAATTTCATGCACCGGGCCTCTAGTGGTATTATAAACATCAAATTTGCTAAAAGACTGGATCTTAATTATTTCCCCCTCCAAAAATGAAATGAGAATTATGTGCTGTGATAGAGGTGCTAGCTCTAATGGCAACCATACTGCAATATTTAATGTATCAAATCAACATGTTATATACCTTAAACTTACACAATGTTATATGTCAAATATATTTTAGTTAAAAAAAAAGAGAGAATTGATATGACTGGAAAATGTAAACAGAAACACATAGACTTTTCCTATTGCAATCGATACCTTAACCATTCCGATCACTTTGAGCCCATAATAAAATCTATGACAGGGCTTGAAAGAATCCCATGCGCCATGTGTTCCAGGATGATTATTTGCATGACCTCTAGAATCAAATCGCCTGATTCTAATCCTGGCTTGGTCCCTTGTTAAGCCAAATAATCCCCTAAGCTTTGGTTTTCTAATGTATAAGTGGGAATACCAATGTTGCTCACCTCATAGAATTACTGTGATGACTACATGAACTAATCCATTTAATGTGCTTAGCATAGCGCCAAACACTAGGTCAGCACTTAATAAAATGGTCACTTAAAAAAAAAGTATGTGTCTTTGCCATAGAGGAAAATGCATACATGCAAATACAGAAGGGTCCTGACTGGTTAGCAAATAATATATTTTACTTTAAAGGGCTTGTTCTTCTTGGAACAATGCCCTTCTGGAAACTTCTTTTAGACACCTTCCTTAACTATTCAAGCTCCTGAAGTTTGGTTTCCTAGGATCTCTCCTCATTAGGACTTCAATCTGCCCCGGGGTTCGGGGTACATATTGCAACACAGAAATTAAGATCAGAGTATTTTCCACAGTAAAGCTCTCTTAGTTTCAGAAGGCAGGAATTCTAATTATTATGTTTAAAACCTTCTTTGTAATGTAGCTTTCACTTCCTGGAGTTTATTTTTATAGGTGCTTTTCTGTTCCTGTGAAAGTAGGAGAGACAATAATACCCAAACTGTAAAACCATTCATTCTGGAATTAACAATAAATGTGATATTTTTTCCAAAGACCACCCCCAAAATATGAAAGATAAAATAGATTATTTTCACAGCCCACCCTTGGACACTAAGTACCACCACTTGCTCTATGTGTCACCGCCCACCCCTACCCCAGTGAGCTGGCCCTGTGACTGTGGCCTGTGCCTCCCTCAGAGAATTGCCCCAGTTCGCTTTAATTAGATATTATTTCCTAAACATCTGGTATATTTTATATGAGTTATTTGTAGAAACAACAAAAGCTGATTACTGACTATTCCTTCTTCCCTTAAGCTATTTTCTAGTGCCCTATAATGGAATACTTAGAATTAGGGACTGGTAAAATTATGTTTAGAGAGAAGAAAAAAACCTCCTAAATGGCTTTATAGTGTGGAAGTCATTATCTTTTCAGTTTTCAGTGGGCCAGTGCTATCTGTGTCCCACTCATAAGATTTTCAAATGTACCTTAAGGCTGACTATAGTAAAATCTAACAACCTACCGTAAAGCAGCTCATTTTAGATGACTAGATGAGCTACATACTTTGTAGTTTGGCAGTTTAAAACAAGTTGCAGGTGTGGTAGTTTAGTTCCCCGAGAGCAGAAGCCTGGAATAAGCCACAGTGTGTCAAGGAGATTCTTGCACGTTTCACCAATCACTGCTTTCAGATTTATTAATAAACTTTTTAAAATGCAGCTGTCACTTATGATGCACTGCTATGCTCTGAATATGTGTCCCTCCAAAATTCATATGTTGGAATCTAACCCCCAAGGTAAAGTTATTAGGAGTTAGGGCCTTTGAGAGGTGATTGGTCATGAGGTAGAGCCCTTATAAATGGTCTCTGTGCCTCTATAAAAGAGGTTCCCTAGAGCTTGCTTGTCTCTTCCAACATATGATGATACAACAAGAAGTCTGCAACCTGGAAGAGGGTTGGACTTCAGCCTCCAGAACTGTGAGAAATAAATTTCTGTTGTTTATAAGCTACCCAGTCTGTGTATTTGTTATAGCAGCCCAAATGGACTAAAACACGAATCTAATTCACAAGAACTTGTGAATATTTTATGCTGGGTAGGAAAGGCATAGTTTTGGACCATATGACATCATAAAGGAGGACAAGCCTGCAGAAGGGCTTCAGAAGAGATGAACACAATCTGAACACAGCTGACAAAGAGGCAACTGGAGCTTGGTTTCTCAACCTTGACACTGTTGACATCTGGGGCTGGATAATTCATTGTGGGGGCTGTCCTGTGCATTGTAGAGTGATTAGCAGTAGCATCCCTAGACTCTACCCACTCTATGCCAGTACTGGCCTACCTCCCAGGTATAATAGCACAAATATTTCTAGACATTGGCCAATGTCCCCTGGGCTGCAAAATCACCCTCAGTTGAGAACCATTGAAATAGAGAATTCAGAATTCCTGGGGAAAACTTTGCACTGTCTATATGTTGTTGAGGCCCCTGATGGCAATGACACCACCTATGAGCTGCTCAGAAGCATTTATCAAATGCTGTCAGGAGGTTGACATTTAAAGTTAACTCAGTGGATCCCAATCTTCCTTTCTTAAGATCTAGTCTATTCCCTGAACTGTAGTGTTTTTCAAGATACTCAGGAGATTATGAAATCAATCTAGTAGGCACTAACCAGCATTTTCTTTAAAAAATGAAATAATGGCCCAGTTGGTATGGCTCAGTGGTTGAGTGTCTACCTATGAACCAGGAGGTCACAATTTGATTTCTGGTGAGGGTACATGCCAGATTGCAGGCTTGATCCCCAGTAGGGGGCATTCAGGAGGCAGCTGATCAGTGATTCTTTCTCACCATTGATGTTTCTATCTCTCTCTGCCTCTCCCTTTCTCTCTTTCTGAAATCAGTAAAAAAAAGAAAAAGAAAAAAGAATTAATGGAGTAGAATAAAACAATACAGAAAATATTAGAGTATACTTTGTAGAGTAAATATAGACTTGCAAAACTTTTGATTGTTTGGGTGTATACAATTGTGGATGCTTGTTCATCTTAGATATTGATATAAAATGTATTACTTACCAGAGTTGGCCATTAAAAGAGCTTGAGAATTCCTACTGTATTTTAACATATCCTCTGGATATACACTTTTCTCCTAATGTGCAATGTATTAGTTTCTCATTGCTGTTGTAACAAATTACCACAAATTTAGTGGCTTTAACCTTAAAACATGCAAGTTTATTCTCTTACAGTTCTGGAGGTGAGAAATCCAAAATCATTTTACTGCACAAAAGTCAGTGTTGACAGGACAAGGACCTCAGTCCTATAGCTTCAAGGAACTGAATTCTGCCAACAACCAGTGAGCTTAGAAGAGCATTGTAAATCGCAGATGAGATAGCAGCCCAGGCTGACATGTTGACTGCAGCCTTGTGAGATCCCGAACAGAGTACTCAGCCAAGCTGTGCCTGGATTCCAGACCCATGGAAACTGTGAGTTAATAAATAAGTGTTGTTTTAAGTCCCTAAGATTGTGGTAATTTGTTATGCCACAATAGAAAACTAATACAGGCATTCAAGGGAATGACTAGAGCAAAAATCTAAACTATGCTGATTTAGTATATTGATATTAAGTTATTTTATGCAATAACATGGAATAATCTCAAATGCATTTTTGCTAAGTGAAATAAGCTAGAGCCAAAAGGCTGCTTACTATAAGATTCTATTTATACAACATTTTGGAGAAGGCCAAACTATAGCAATGAAGAATAGGTCAGTGGATAACAAAAACTGGAGATAGCGGGAGAGGTTGATGACAAAGGGCAAGAGGAGGGAATTGATGGGAGGGAATTGATTCATAACAGTAGCAAAATTACAGTTATGAAGTAGCAACGAAAATAATTTTATGGTTGGGGGTCACCACAACATGAGGAACTGTATTAAAGGGTCTCGGCATTAGGAAGGTTGAGAACCACTGGTCTAGAAGAAGCAAAAAGGAAAGAAGTGCCATACCCTAGAGCAGTGATGGCGAACCTTTTGAGCTCAGCGTGTCAGCATTTTGAAAAACCCTAACGTAACTCTGGTGCCGTGTCACATATAGAAATTTTTTGATATTTGCAACCATAGTAAAACAAAGACTTACATTTTTGATATTTATTTTATATATTTAAATGCCATTTAACGAAGAAAAATCAACCAAAAAAATGAGTTTGCGTGTCACCTCTGACACGCGTGTCATCGGTTCGCCATCACTGCCCTAGAGGCAATGAGCACACTCAGCACCCAGATCGTGGATTCTAAATGCCATTCCTCAGTAAAGGGAAACAGGGCTCTCTCATTCTAGGGTGGGGCATCTTAAGGTGCCAGAAAGTAAGGGAGCGCTCACAAAACAAGACAATGGGTACATATCAAAAGGACCCAAGAGCCAACTGAAAGAACTCTCAATGGCCATAGCTTAAAACAATTTGAGAGACAAAATAAATAACATAGTATTGGATTATAATCCAAAGTATAAAGTAAATATCTCTGAGTCCATACTGACAAAAGTAAATGAGTAGGTAAATAATAAATAATCGACAAATCTGTACAAAAGAATTTCAAACAATTTATGTAGGTTCTATACTCTCAACTTGATAGAGCATAACTCTCTATCCCTTAAGTATGGACTTTGCATAACAATGTCCATGCAAACAGTACCATATAGAAAGAGGAACAAGAGTGGAGAAATCTGACAAACACTGCTTCACCCTACAGTTAAGGTTAACCTTGTCAGGGATGAGTAATGTTGATAGCATGTACCCTGGTATGCTGTGGTAAGAATGGCCCTTTACCTTTGCAATCTTTCTTCCAAGAACCCTAACCCCAATAATGAGAAAAAATGAGAAAAACCCAAACTGAGGACCACTCTGCAAAGTTACCTGACCTGTCATCAAAATCAAGAAAATTCTGAGAAACTGTCAAAAATCTAGAGGAGCCTAAGGGGAAATGATGACAATTCAATGTGGTATCTTGCTGAGATCTGGGGACAGAAAAAGGACATCAGATAATAATTAAAATTCAACTAACGTATGGACTTTAGTTATTAACAATGTTTCATTTGTTTGGATAAATTTAGCACACTAATGTAAGATTAACAGTGGGACAACTGGATAGTTGGTATAAGGGAACCCTTTGTGCTACTCTTGGAATTTTTCTGTAAATATAACACTACTAGAGGCCCAGTGCACAGATTCGTGCACTGGTGGAGTCCCTCAGCCTGGCCTGCGGGGATCGGGCTGAAACTGGCTCTCCAACATCCCCCAAGGGGTCCCAGATTGCAAAAGGGCGTAGGCCAGACCAAGGGACCCCACTGGTATATGATTGGGGCCAGGGAGGGCTCCAGGGTGTGTCCGGCCTGTCTCGCTCATTCCAAACAGCTGAACACCAGCAGCAAACTAACCTACCCGTCGAAGAGTCTGCCCCCTTGTGGTCAGTGCACATCATAGCGACTTGTAGAATGGTCGAACGAATGGTTGGACACTTAGCATATTAGGCTTTTATTATATAGGATTCTAAAATTTATAAATATTTAAAAGAACATTTTTAAAATCTGAAAGCATGTATTGTATGATTTTCTTCCCTCCTTTCCTCCCTCCCTTCCTCCCTCCCTCCCTTTCTTCCTTCCCTCCTCCCTTCCTTCCTTCCTTCCTTCCTTCTTTCTTTCCACCCACCCATACATCCATCTGTTCTTCCATCAATTCTTTCTATATATACATAAAGAGATGCCTGTAATGCTGTCCACCACATTTTAAGGACTCCTGTATATGACTCTTGGAATTTGTGGTAATTTTCTCAACTGCTTGAATTATTTTGAATAATTATGTTCTTTCTATTAAAGTATTAAAGACACTATGTTTTCTACATGAAGATGGAGAAAAAGTGCTAACTATCAAGATCTTTTTATCTTGATAATATTCTAGTTACGATAGGAACCAACATACTGTTTCATTTTGTAGGGATTTGTGGGATAAAATTTGGTCCAAAAGAGGGTTTACTAAATTACCATAATCCATCAGTATATTTATATACAATTAACTATATTAATTGTATACAAAACAAACAAATAAAAAAGATGTTCTCATTTTTCCCCCCCTGTGGGAACTCCGAGAGAGAGAGAGAGAGAGAGAGAGAGAGAGAAAAGGACCTTGATTGTGTGATTTTGCTGTTAAGATATATAAGATATTTTACAGTTAGCCACTGCAGGAAGGAGGAATGCTCAAGTGTTCTCACCTCGGCTCCGGAGAGCTCAGTTCATTTGTAGCCAAGAAGTAAAACATGTCTAAGAGCAAACAATGGATTTAAGCCATAGTAGAGCTCTGCCTAATGTGAGAGGTGGGTCTGGCTCAATACAAATAATTGTTATTTCAGATGAATGTAATTGCAATAAGGCGTTAGTTATGAATAAAAGAAAAGAAGACAAAACATAAGAAGAATCATTCTATTCTTTTTTCTCCCTATCCCTCAAAGCAGAAAAGATGGCCTAATCTCTCAATTTCTAATTTAATGTTAGTTGGAAGTCGGTCCTAAAACCTTATAATTTTTAAAAATTTATCTTTATTGTTGAAAGTATTACACATGCCTTCTTCCCCTCCCCATTGCCCCCCTTTACCCTGGCCCCTAAAACCTTATAATTTTAAAAAAATCTTTATTGTTGAAAACCTTATAATTTTAACATTGGAAGAAATATCCAAAATCACTGAGTCCACTTCCCTCTTGTTATAGATGAAGAACAGAGAATCTGTGTGCTCATTTGTGTGTGTGTGTGTGTGTGTGTGTGTTTTAATTTATTTTATTTTATTTTTTTCAGAGAGGAAGGGAGAGGGAGAGATAGAAACATTGATGATGAGAGAGAATCATTGATCGGCTGCCTCCTGCATGCCCCCTACGGGGGATCAAGCCCGTAACCCAGGCATGTGCCCTGACAGAAAATTGAACAGTGACCTCCTGGTTCATAGGTCAACACACAACCACTGAGCCACACAGGTTGGGCCTGTGTGCTCAGTTATAAGAAAACCTGATAAACCCAATTCTGCTTACAAAACAGATATATCAGGAGGTGGGTATTAAATTTACAAATGACCCAATGTAGTATTCCATTAAATGTGCTCCCCATATGTTTTAAAAGTATGATTCAACTTATAAAAATGGAAGTCACACACAACCTTTAGGAACTTATCTAAATTTAGCAAATGCATATTCCTGGAATGCCTTCCATGTGCAAGTAGAAATGGCCCCCAACTCTGCTGTGAAGTAATATGTGACCTTAGAGAAAACTTCATTTATCTTGGAAACTGACATTCCTCTTTAAACATACAAAACAGGTTGCAACAGTTTTCAGAAATGATCAGAGTCCAGTGACAAGCAACAAAACCCGTGGTCTGAGTCTCACTCCCATTTCCTGGTGTCTTCATCTTCCTCCCCATTTGTCTTCCCATCATTGCTGTTCTGTGTACCAAGCCAAGAGCCCAGAAATATCTGACTAAAACAAGTCAAGTGTTCACATATGTTGATTTCCAAAAAAGCCAACCAAAACAGAAATGAACTAAAAAGGACAAAATATTAAAAATTCTTCTAAATCATTTACTTTTCAATGGGCCTCCATTTTGGATTTCTAGTATATGGTGAGTATGTAATATTAATGCTTTAATTCATCCAGATTACTGGGTTGTAGTTTTCAGGAAATCATACATGTTTGTCTTATTAGAGGAGTATGTTAAAATTTTACTAGCAAGGGGAATGTTAAAGCCTAAGTATCATCAACACACTGTTCTAAGGCTCCACCCTGAAGAAGGTATTTGGCTGTAGACAATTACAGGCTGTCAGAGTTCTTAGAGAATTTGTAAGGCCTACAGACCAACTCTAGGAATAGGAATAAAATGAAAAGGAAACATAATTTAATCCTTTATTTATATCAGAAAAGCAGTTGTGTGCAAGTCAAGGTGATTATTTGTAAAGGGTTAGTCATTGGGGCAGAAATGATAAAAGTAAAACTTTACTTATACCACATCAGTGTTACCCCTGAGCAATTATGGCAATGAAAAGATCCAGACAAAGCCAACAGGAGATGCGTGGAGAGTAAATTCAAATGTATGTGAAACACCTGGATCCATTTCTAAGTAATTGATGTTTAAAATTTGTTTCTAGTTCTTTCTGAAGCTCCTGTCTTCCAGGCTCACAGAATCTGCAGTGGCAGCATTTATCTTTTTGAGTGTGTCCAAGTTTAAGGTTTGAAGTAATTATGAAGAACATCTGACTAGGAGAAAAACAAAAGCCAATAAGAAAACTTGTGAAAAGGGGAGAAAAGTCAAGGTGAATTTAGGTTTCTCAAAAGGCTATGTTTCTGACTAGAGGAAATAAAACATTTGCCAGTTGGCTTCATAGGATCCCAGGCTGGGCCCAGAGACAGAGGGAACAGATGTTGGAGCTTCTTCCTGAATTGTGTGGCCAGATTATATCCCTTAGAATTCCCAGATGTAATTCTCTGAGAGATCAGAATTTGTCCATGTCCTCTCAGTTTTATGAACATTCTCATGCAGAGGTAATAGCTAAGGCTGTGCTCTCTCCTAGTGTAAATGTGGCTAAAAATTGCACCATGTTCCTGGCAGGCCCTGTGTCCCAATATGTCCTGTGGCAAATTCCACCACTTCTGGGAAGACCTGCTCCTGTTTATGTTTCAGCCTTGCTCATTCCCTCCCTCTTCCTGTCAGTCAGACCTGCTTTCCTTACCATGCAGAGAACCCTCCCTTGGCTTCTATTGGAAAGGGTCAGGGCACAGCTAACATTTATGGGTCTGGCCCACATCCACATGCTCTAAGGAAACTAGAAATCTTGACAGGCTTGAGGGAAGTTAATGAAACACAAACTAACCACCCTAACATTTCACAACCAAGAAAGGGACTCACAGAAACCAAACGTAAAATGAATTAAAATGTCAAGATTGAAACTTAAAAAAATTGCCAGAGAACATTGACATCATATGTGGAAAGCATAGGGATCTGTTCGAATTGTTTAGAAAGAGCCCACAATCTGAGAGAGATGCTCACATCCAAATGTTTCGAGCAACTTGCACACTGGAACAGGGAGAAGAGGAGCAAGGAGATGTGAATTGCCAGCCCGAGCATTTCATAGCCATTCAGCTCACAGAAGAGCTTCTGGACTGATAGGAATCTTTAAGTCAAGTTTAGCTGGTTCTTTTAAAATATATATATTTTTTTATTGATTTCAGAGGGGAAGGGAGAGGGAAAAATAGAAACATCGATAATGAGAGAACCATCAATCAGCTGCCTCCTGCATGCTCCCCACTGGGGATCAAGCCCAAAAACCAGACATGTGCCCTGACTGGGAATTGAACCATGACCTCCTGGTTCATAGGCCAACACTCAACCACTGAGCCACACTGGCTGGGCTAAGCTGGTTCTTAAAATAACAACTTATATGAGGAGTATTGCACTTAATTAAGTTTCAGTTGCTTATATAAGCTCTTTTAAGTGACCTAATCTTTTTAAGTAGACTGTAAATTGCAGAAGATCAGAGACTGAGCCTTAAGACTCCTGTTTCCTCAGTCAGTGCCAAGGCCACTTAAGCAACAAGTAGTAGATGTAAAATACAGTTAGTCATGAAACTAAAAGAGCCCTAAATAAAAATATTCTTCTTCAACCCCTAATTGAAGTAGGTACATTATTTAGCTCTCCAGAAAAGAGTTCTCTCTCCCCTTCTTATACCTTTCTGGAAATAAGAGGGCATTTTCAGTCAGGGACTTTAGCAATCCTTTAGACCAGTGGTTGGCAAACCGCGGCTCGTGAGCCACATGTGGCTCTTTGGCCCCTTGAGTGTGGCTCTTCCACAAAATACCACGTGCGGGTGCGCATGTACAGTGCAAAGTTGACTTAAAACTTTAAGTAAAGTTTATTAAGTTAATTTTAGGGAACATTGTGGAGTGAAAGAAGATGTAGTGTCGAGGATTGAGAAAGGTATGTTGAGATGGTTTGGACATATAGAGAGGATGAACGAAAGGAGATAGACAAAACAAGTATACAAGACGAGTGTGGATGGGAGAGTTGGACCTCAGCGAACGTACCTCAATCAGATTGAGGACGTTTTTAGCAAAGGCCAGCTTAGGAGTACCCTAATTAAGTAAATAACAATTTACCTACCTATATAGTTTAAGTTTAAAAAATTTGGCTCTCAAAAGAAATTTCCATCGTTGTACTGTTGATATTTGGCTCTGTTGGCTAATGAGTTTGCCGACCACTGGTTTAAGGCTTCCATAACTTTAGGCTGCCCTGGTAAGTCCTGCCCTCTGTCTCTTAAGTTCCAGCTCATCCCTATAGGGCTTATCACTTTTTGCCTGAGGGTAGCATCAGGTTCTAACTAATCCTTATGGTACCTGGAGGTGTTCTGGGAGCGTAACAACCTTGGGCTCTAAAAGACTAATCCTGCTCTTTCTCACAATGAGACTCTAGCCCTATTCTAAGGGTAGCTACCCAAACACTTCTGCCTTCAGATGGAATAGCTTTCACTATCCTAAAGAGGGAGAAAATATACACTTAATCTCTAGCAGGTGATTCAGCTACATTATTGTACATTTATGTGCAACTCAACTGCTGAACTATGAGTGACACTCGAAAATAAACCCCTTTGCCAAGAGGCTCCATTTGGTCCATCACATTGGTCTGTGAATAATCTATTTGGACTTGTAAGCCACACTGCTTGATGTAATAGACTTCAGTTTTCATTTGGCCCAGTTCCACCATGGCCCTAAGGAATTCTTCATAAAGGAACATCTGAAAGTGCTCTTGTAGGTGTGTCGGAGGCCGGACGTTTGACTGAACAATGGCAGCAGTGTTTCTATATTGAACTCCAGATATCAGATGAAGGTTCAAGATGTAGAAATGTTTTGTGCTCTCTCTGTTTTTGAGTTCCCCATCTTAAAAGAAGAAATACAAGAACACTTAATAGTTCCAGCATTCTGAGTTGCGGGGGTGGGGAATGACTTAAGTACTTCCCTGAATTTTCCATTTTTTGGTCATAGTAAAAGGCAAGGGATTAGGACAGATTTGTGTGTGTCTAATTACAAGAGGAAATGGGGAAGGGACAAGATCAGAATCTAGATTTTTTTCCCCTTGATGGGTGGGGTTGGTGGGGGGAAAGGTGGTTGGTTGGGAGTTTCTTTATGCACAGCAACAGTCTTCAGGTCCTGGGAAACCCACCCACCCATTTGCTCATAACTGGCCGTTTTGCTGAGTGGGAAATTTTGATCTTGAGACATTTAGCCCTAGCCTAAGAAACAAACCAGCTTAGCCTGGGTTCTTCAAAGAACAGAGTTTCAGGCAGAAGTTTATGTGCTATAGCTTTATTAGAGAATGCAATCCCAGGGAAAGAGTTGGGGAAGGACTGAGATGGAAAGGTAGGAGAGCCAACATGACAATGTATTACCCGCTCCACAGCTGGTGCCAAACTAATTGCTCAATCTTACAGCACTTTAAGAGAAAGTTTTTTAAGAGAAAGGCAAATTTCTTATTCTGCCTCCTATTGGTCAATGGGACAATAACTGCCCACTCCCTTAACCCTCACATTCTGATTGTACAAGTGTTGACACTGAGTGGCATCATGCCCCATCAACATTAAGGAAGTTGAGAATTGAGTTGAAAGAGGCAAGGCCTCTCAGGTTGTTGGGGTACTCCAAGGAGCTGGTCATAGTAGTGGAGGCTGGAAGGGACTGCAGACTCTAGTGTCTTCCCCGACCCAAGATTGAGAGCAGGATTTGACCTCACACTCTAGGTGGCTCCAGCTTCTTCACTCCTTGCCCATTCACATCTTTTTATCTTCTCATCTCTTTTCCCTCCTCCCTGGTTTGGACTAACCCATCAGTATGGTCGGCCCTGATATGTACCATGAAGAGCCCTCTTCAAGGAAAGATTTGCTGACCAGCAGTAGGAAATGCAACCAGTAGACAGCCTCCAGCTGTCAGCTTCTTCAGGAGCTGCCTCAGCTGCAGAGTCTCTGCCTGAAGTCATGCCCATCTTGGGGCAGTCTGGATCTGGTGACTGAACATGGGCTGGTCATTTTTTTTCAGGGATATAAAGTCCCAGGCAGTTATTTTGGGACAATGCCAAAGGACATTTTTCACTCCAGAGCTCCCACTAGGCTGGCCTATGTTGCAGTTTGACTTTTCCCTCTGCCAATCCTGCTCCCCCCACTTTCTGTCACGGGTGTTGATTTTAATAAACATCTTGTGCCCAAAACTTCATCTCAGCATCTACTTCTGGTGAACCCACCCTGTCACAATTAGCTTACAATATTTCATGCCCAGAATGTGTCAAATTTGTATAATGAATTGAAAAGTTAGGCCATTCAAGAATCTACAACTTGGCTTCTACATCCCACCCCTGAGCCCCTCTGGCCTCAAGGGAACTAGTCCTGAATCTCTTCCAGGAGCAGGGATGTCAGTGACAGCAGTACATTTCTGATTCACATTTGTAACACCATGTGAAGATTGTGGGGCCAGAGAACCCCTTGACAGAAACTTCTGCTACTAAGTGCACAACGCAGTGTCTTTGAAGCATTACCATACATGTGATGTCATATATATTCAAAGATTAAGTCTATCCAAAGGCCAGGACATATAGGTACATTTATTTCAGTATTTAGTGGTTGTAGAATACTTGAGCCCTCAATTTTCCACTCTAGGTTATTTACCACTGTCCTGGCTTCCATATTTATTAGACCAAATGAGAGGCAGAGAGCCCCATATCCTTCTTTTTTGCCCCCTCTCTGCTCTTTCAGGGTGGCTCCATTTAGCATTATAGCAGTATAGGTTGAGGTGTTAGGCAGTAGTAGAACAATTGTCCTGATGATCCATTATTTTGTTTGCTAACATTAAACACTGTGGGGTGGCATCATAGGGGGCGTACCTTGTGTAGCATTACAGCCTACCTCCTCCTATGAATGAAACCCACACAAAACATGTAGGGCATGATTATGTGCTCTTGTACCCATACACTCCCACACACCCTCCTTAGAAGGGTCATCCTCCCTTCCATCAAGTTGTACTTGAACCCTCTTTGTCAGTCTTCTCTCCCAATAAAAATAATATATCTTTCTTTAAAGAAAAATGGAAAAGGTAATTGAGAATTGAGCATCTGTTGAAACCATCTCTTCTCAATTTCCACGTTACTTGATTTAGAAATAGTGTAAATAATGCAGAAACACTGATAGGAAGCTTTTTGTTTGTTCCATATTATAGCTTAGGCCTAATGTGATGTATGCATTTCCAATATCGAAAATTCCTTACAGGTCCTGCCCTAACTGTTGTGTGTTTTTTTTCAGTTTTTATTTCAAGAAAAACGATTTTAAATATAATAATGTTGCATGCAATAAACCTTAATATTTCAAGAAAAATGATCTTAAATATAATAATATATGCAATAAACATTAATATCTCAAGAAAAACAATTTTAAATATGATAATGTTACATGCAATAAACACCAATTATTCAGGAAAAATTATCTTACATATAATAATATTATGTGCAATAAACATTAATATTTCAAGAATAAAGAATTTTAAGTATAATAATATTACCAAAACTCTACTAACAGATGATATCACAAAAGTTGTAGGAAATATTAAAAGTCTTCAAATAACAGGATTACTCCTAATATATTCTAGATTCCCCCCCCTCCGCCCCCTGGCTCTCTTTTGTTCATCAGTTTATGTTGTTCATTATAGTCCACAAATGAGTGAGATCATATGATGTTTATCTTTCTCCGACTGGCTTATTTCGCTTAGCATGATGCTTTTAAAGTTTATTTTGTCGGATATGAGTATCGCTACTCCAGCTTTTTTTTCTTTTCCATTTGCATGGAAATTTTTTTCCATCCCTTCACTTTCATCCTGTATGTCAGCGGTTCTCAACCTGTGGGTCGCGACCCCTTTGGGGGTCGAACGACCCTTTCACAGGGATCACCTAAGACCATCGGAAAACACATATATAATTACATATTGTTTTTGTGATTAATCACTATGCTTTAATTATGTTCAATTTGTAACAATGAAAATACATCCTGCATATCAGATATTTACATTACGATTCATAACAGTAGCAAAATTACAGTTATGAAGTAGCAACAAAAATAATTTTATGGTTGGCGGTCACCACAACATGAGGAACTGTATTAAAGGGTCGTGGCATTAGGAAGGTTGAGAACCACTGCTGTATGTGTCTTTCGTTTTAGGTGGGTCTCTTGTAGACAGCATATAGTTAGATCATGTTTTTGTATCCATTCAGCTACTCTGCACCTTTTGATTGGAGCATTTGATCCATTTACATTTAGGGTTATTATTGAGAGGTACTTATTTATAGCCATTTTAATTCTGTATGGCTAGGTTTCTCTGTTGCTTCTTCTCAGCAGTCCCTTACAGCAATCCCTTTAGCATTTCTTGTA